GGATTATATAGTGCTTTAGAATTAGCTTTTGCTAATTTTTTCAGTGCGTTAGTGCTTTAGAGTTAGGGGACCTAAATATTTGAGTTAGTGCTTTAGGGTTAGTGCAACTAATATTTAGATTAGTGCTGCCAGCCACTGTGTATGCCTTTGTGGAACAATCTAAATACACACACCAGTCACCAAGAATTGCAACAAAATAAAAGCATCACACTGCATTGCACAACTAACATTTTGTACCTTATTAGTAAAGCAATATAGCTTACAAAGAAAAAAATAATAAACTAATATAAAAAAGGCCCATTTGTGTCCTATATAACTAAACATGTAATGTGCTGAAATCTCCAAGGACCTTATTATAATAACCACTAAACAAAAATTTAATGGCTATTACTTTAAAAGTAATAAAATCAACTGCATTATAAGATAAAATGTTTACGGCCGAAATATTTTCTGCAACATTAGCTGCAACACCTGCACAGATGAATACAAATTGTCCTACTAAAAGTACTTGGTTTTTTATTTTTATTTTTTTTTTTTTTGATCAATGAACTGCAAATAATTAACATTAAACTTTAGGAAAACTGTTGTGTAGTGCTGAACTGCACAGAACTGTTATGAAAGTCTTTTTTTTGCTTGAATAATTGTGTACTCCAGATGGTTTTAAAAGGAAACTACACACCCACAGCATCAAGCTCAAAGGGTTCTGTGACTCCATAGAGTTTTAGCAGAGATAAATATATATATAAAAAAGATTACTATACCATCTTTGTTCCAAATACTTTGATGCCACACTGGTCCCTTTATCCACTGCTACTAATCTCTATAGTCATCTAACAGTTTTTAAGCCCTATAGTTCAGAGTAAATAAAAAATAAGACTTTTCCCTGAAAGTTCTGGGTAAAGAGCAGAACTTTGTTGCCACAAATTATTAAAAAAAAGTGTTTTATCTCACGTCTTACCACCTGTGTGTCTGACTCCCAGAACGGCTGTGAACAGAGGAAGCCTAGCAATGTGCTTTCAAAGATAGCTGCACACAGACAGCCTTTCTTATCACCAGGTTATCGTAGAGCCACTCTTTTACCATCCCGCAGGAGGAGGCGAGTGCGCGGCGGAGGGAGACAGGCAGGGAGAGGRAAAAAAAAGTGGGAGGAGAGGAGAATGTCAAACTGTCTGGCCTTTTCTTGACAACCCTACCACACTGTCTGTCTGAGAAATTAATCTTCTGTCATCTTTAGATAGAAATCTCTCACTTATCTGCGTCCTCCCACACCTCCCTCCTCTTCGTCATTCCCTCATTCACTCAGACTTTATTTCTTTTCTTGCATTTCTCTTTTTACATACCACCTCTTCTGTTTTTTACAGCATCTCTGTGACTTTTTTTTTTTACTTGTCTTTCCACTTTTTTTTGAAGTTAGGATGATCTTTCCTTCTCTTTTCACGCTATTATCCCCTGCCTGGTCACTTCTATCTGTATGCTTCCACTGAGCTGTCTAACCAAAGGCTCAACACAATGAAATATATCCACACTGACGGCTGAAGTAAGGCCTCACACACCTATCAAACTTTTTATTCCTATGTAAACTGTCATATTGTTATACACTCCTGATCAAAATCTTAAGACCAGTCAAAAAAGTGCAAGAATTTGCATTTTGCACTATTGGATCTTAAGAAGGTTCTAAGTAGAGCTTCACAATGTTAAAAGAAGAAATCAATGCAAGAGACAAGAACTTTTGAGCAGGGAATGTTCTGAAAACTGCATTTACACTCAAACATGATTTTTTCAGCTGATCAAAAGTTTAAGACCATAGCTCAAAAAAATCCGAAAACCCCACAAAACAGAAATCAAAGCGTCAAAAAAAGGACTCAGTAATGAGTAGCTCCACCATTCTTGTTGATGACTTCAAACAAT